CGGCCAATGTGATAAAGGTTAAATGTCTTTAAAGGAAAGAGGGAGAACCTAATCTGAGCAGAATTGAATCTAGCATTTGGATCAAGCCGCATTTGCGTGGCAGCGGCGCTGCGTCCCTCTCGCACATCTGAAACTAGCATTTTTTGATATGAAACCGGATGTGCAGAGGACAAAAAGGGGTCGTATCAGAGTCCATGTTTTGGAGGGGGGTCGTAAAGAGGCGGTTATTTCCTCGACACGATTTTCACCCTGCTTCGGTCATGGTTAGACCTTCCCTGTTAAAGGCACGCTCCAGGATTAGGCGCGCTTGCCTGTTCCATCGCCTGTTGACGGTCTTAGTTATAAAAATGGTACTAAATATTCAAACTCCATTTTGCGCGAATTTTGAACGTCAACTCGAAATGCAAAAATTTGTCACCACGAGGAATCGAACTAGGGACCCCTTTTCTGGTATTCAGAGGGCCGTTCAGGAAAAACATGGTTCTGTGGTTCCCGCATGTGCCCCTATATCATGCAAAAGACCGTTTTGAAAAAGCTTGGCACGCCCTGAACGACCTCCCTTGTGAGTTGAAAATAGGGGACTTTGATTCAGGTAATCTAGTGCAGAAAAATCTTGCTTTTCGCAGTTTTTATAGAATCGCTGTCGAAACCTGAAAGGAAGGATGAAGCATTTCACATTGTTCCATCTCTCCTCAGCGAGATGCCACGCATCTAACTTCTGCTCAGAGAAGTGAAATTTGAGTGCTGACTTCTAGAGTGATTGGCGGGCCAATTGTTTTTGTGAAGCATTGCTATCAGAGCATTCTCGCACTCAATAATATTTCTCTATTTCAGGTGAATGTTACCATCAACGGTGTCCTCCACACAGTCTTTCGATACAGTTCGAAGAGCAACATGCCGCGACCTGAATCCTATCTCGTGGATATCCAAAAGGCACAAAGTGTTCCAGACAAGACTCGGTTCTGGCAGGTGATTAAAGCAGCAGCTATCTCACAAGGGAGGTCGTTCAGGGTGTGCCAAGCTTTTTCAAAATGGTTTCTTGCATGACATTGGGGCACATATGGGGACCACAGAAGCATGGTTCATTTTTCCTGAACGGCCCTCTGAATACCAGAAAAGGGGTCCCTAGTTCGATTCCTCGTGGTGACAAATTTTTGCATTTCGAGTTGACGTTTCAAAATTCGCGCAAAATGGAGTTAGCATGAATAATTAGTACCATATTCATGATTAGGACCGTCAGTAACCCTTACAAATAGACTTTGATTGAAAAACTGGTGAAAAAGGTGTGACTAGGGACCCCCTTTTCTGGTATTCAGGGCCGTTCAGGAAAAATTAACCATGGTTTTGTGTGGTTCCCGCATGTGCCCCTATATCATGCAAAAGACCGTTTTGAAAAAGCAAGCACACCCTGAACGACCTTCCTTGTCAGTTTTGCATAGCTGCGCCTTTTTGAACCGGCGTGTACAGAATGAATGTTGTAGTTTTGAGCTATGAGTACTAATTCGAAAACGATTTGTGAAATATTTTATCAGAACTTATACTAACTAATGATGTAGTCCATCTAAAAAAGGAGAGCGTCATCAAATGAAGCAAATTCATTCTAATACTGTCCGCCGAGGAAATTTACGGAGGATCCCAGCTGCGCGGCGGTTTGCCTCAGCACAAACTCAATGGTCGATTTGGTGATTTCAGGACGTCGCAAGTGCGGCTGAGTCTGGTTGGGATTTCTCGACGAGGTGGTTCGGAGACAAGCGAACCATCTACACCATAGAAACAAACAATGTGAGCAATTCTTATAAGGCATTCTATTCTTCACATTTTTTGTTTTCAATTGTGTTAATACGAAACCGAGAGTGGAAGCTGGGAATAGGTCACTGACAAGAAGCGCAACTATCTGGCCTACGGTCCATGGATTGGAAATCATGATATCTAGCGGCTGACTGTGTCTCTCAGCCCTTTGGGGCCAAGTGGTGCAAAAGTCGTTTAGGAGTCTAAAAAATCAAATCACTTTTATTACATGGAGTAGGCAGCGCAAGTCGTCCTGTTGGCCACGTACATTATTCGTCGCCAATTTTGTTCTTAATAAGGATGTTCCGTAAATCAAACTTTACCTTCCGTTTCAGGTACTTCCTGTTGACCTCAACGCATTCATCTGCTGGAATTATGAACTACTGGAATACTTTTTCGAGCGGATAGGTGCGTTTTTCTCGACTAGTTTGGAATTTTCTTTACTATGAAACCAGGGGCGGTCTCGACAATCCTGCTTATAAAGTGATACCATTTGATAATTCACTTACTAAACCAGCAGAAATTAAAAATGGATCTAATTCTGCCTAGGGCAGATTCTCCAAGCATTCCTTCATTTTCTCGCCAGGCTCGTTTTACAGTATGAATACACTGACTTGTACATCGACTTCCTTACCTAGGTCGTTCCCCTTTCTCAAAACACATTCGAATGCTATGACGATTTTGAGTTGATCCGTATATGGCTCTTGAAGGATAGGTCAGCGTTAAACACTCATCTTTCAAGCTAGAGATTACGATAAAGTGAGTGTACAAGCATGGAAGTATTATACATGCACCAGTAACAGCAGTAGTACGGGCCTAAGGAAGCGAGATGTGGCCTTTTCGTGGCCCTGGGGCTGCCATTCCTCCCTGAGCTCCGCCTTCGCCGACTATGCTCCCCCATTAGTGTATTGCTAACAGCATCATTGTTCTTATCATTTGTATGAGTTCCCCATGAAATGTGTCATCAGTTAAATCGTGATTTTGCTGGAATGATAGCGGCTATCCGCTTGACATATTCAAACGACTTCTTAGTTGGTTTCTATCAGGCGTTTCAAAAAGTTCTGTCGTTTTTTGACACTCCACTTTTGGATGCTCTTATTTTCCTTGAAACCCAGGAAAGCTGCAATCGGTATGATGCCGTTTTGAAGAGCTTTTCCTGCTCTATCTCAATGCTTAGCTTAGCTTTGTCCTAAACATTTTCTCATAGCTTTTTCAAAGCTCTGAATGCGGTATACTCGATGAGCAAGTTGGCATGACTTTCTTTTTCTAGCTTTGAATAGACCTGAAAGTAGCGGGAACAGTTCAAAATATTAGCACTTGGCCTAGATTCGCAATAAATGTGCTCATATGCAGTAGTTCGAAAAAGTTATTGTAACGAAAGCGAGAGCCTTGGGTATGATAATAGGTGGTCAGTCAGATATCGGACGTTACCTCATTATAAAGGGGGTGGACACATCTCTGAAAGGTGTCCTGAACGTACATCGCACCGCCAACCCTTCACAAGTTGGACCAGCTGAACTTCAGAGTGATTCTGCGAACATCTTACTTAGTAGACCTTTGATCTATCTACTGTCACATTTCTGACGATCTCGATAGCTTCCTTGAAGAGAAATGCATCAAAACCCAACATGATGCCAAATCGACCTTCCCTCAGTTCATCGCCTCAACAGCTCCAGCATTCTGAACAAGCGTTCCCAGTAGAATGGTTCCTTATAGAGAAAGGTTCGCGCATTCGAATGGTTTTTTAATCAGCTTGAAAGGTTTACTTTATGCCGAGATACATGCATTTAAAATTCGGGGTCGGAAAACGACAGAACTTTCTGAAACGCCTAATAGCTTGATACCGCGATCAAATTGTTCTGTCGTCTTTTTGCGATTGAGAGTAAGTCTAGTTGTGGTCGACTTTCCTGATTAATAATAAGAAAAATGAAAAGAACCTCTAATGTCAGATCGCGCATGCGGGCGTGGTTCGCGTTCGCCTCCGAAGGAATCCTCACTGGCTAGCTTTCCTTTTTTGATATGGCAAGCTATAATATAGTGAAGTACGGTAAGTGAATAGATGGAACCCACTGTAGAGGTGCAACCCCCACCTCTTTGAGCAACTCGCAGTTTACTTCAAAAGCTTTATGGCGGTTTTTGTTTTCTTTTACTGCTGGTGAACCAATCACCACAATGGCTTTCATTTTCGGACTCAATACCACACACCTATCCAACTTACATGTGCCATCAAGTACAGCTCTGCTGCACAAGCGCGTCACGCGCGAGCGAGCCACGTGATGCGCGCTCGGCCAAAAAAGCACGAAGTCTCGAGTACTAGGTGTAGCTTATTGTTGCAGCGGGTGAAACTCCAGTTCGGGGGGGGGCACTCCATTTTTTCTCCAATACTCAAGGATTAGAGGGCTCACGACACGTAATCGACTCATTTAAAGTAGACTTCTGATAAATATTGGTGTAATGGGTGAGAAACCCTGAAACGTTTTCACATTTCCGCCTGCCATGACCCAAGGGAACGGTCCTGGACCAGGAGAAAGGACACCTCCGCAAAGGGCTAAGGGTGCAGGAGCTCCAGGGTGGATCACCTGTGCAGAAAAGTGGATGGGATGTGGGCAGGTAGTGTGGAATGTAGGACATCCACCGGTCCTTATCAAAAGTACGCTCGAAATGAGTCGTTCACTTATTATCTTATCCGTAGTGTTCGATAGCCCAAAGAACTGCTCTCTAGTACTACGGATAAGATAGCAATGGAGTGGCCCCCCCGAACTGGAGTTTCACCGTTGCACGTAATCATTGACCACGACGCCACTATAAAGAGAGAACGCTGGTCTTCTTTCAGAGACCTCTAGGCTAACGACTGTCTATTTATTGTTATGCCAAGCCCCTATATTGGCCGGGGAGAAGTCGCTGGCTACACTTTTTTTTATTGGAAATCTAACTTATTAGGGTGGGAGTAGAGCAGCTCTCTTATAAACTTCTGAGCTAACATTGTAGTACTTAATGAATAAGGGTTCCTAACTGAGAAAAATTCTGCTGTGGAATAGAGACGGCAGATCGTAAGTGTTTATCTGTTACAGGAAACCAAGTGAAATCCGAGTTTTATCGGGAAACACGAGCAAAGTTCCGCGACACACTTACATAAGGTCTTCTATAACCACACGGCGGGTACATGGTGAGTTTTTATTGAGGTCAGGCATTTTTCACAATGTGCGGGCGGAAGCGGTGTAGTGGCAAATGGAGCTGCTTACCGCGGTTCGGGGACCAAGTCCTAAGTTTTCCACTGTATAGGCTGACCAAGGCTTTCATTCTACGGGGAGGGTTACTTGGTACCAGACTTGTATGAGTGGATGGAGACGCTGGCTTGTTTATCGGCTGCCCTCCACAAGTCACTGTATAGCTAAAGCCGTATGCAAAATGCCACCACGGTTTTGTATGGAAATAGGATTCGTGGCGCATTCCTCTCGTGGATTGATAAACGTCGAATGCTGAATTGTTTTCAGTGTTAATGCAAAGACTCCGAAGGGTCAAAATTCGATTTTCCAACCACCTTGTGTAATGAACCCGGAGTTTCTTACAAAACGAGCTTCGCGCTAACTCTTCCTGCAAGAAAAGCATTTCAAATTAAAGGTTTTAAATCCACCTCAGGACCAAGAGTGGAATTGTCCTAACCTTTTCTCCGTCTTCGCGCATATTTTGCCTCAGAATTTGTACGGGTTCGGTGAGGTAGACCGTCTTTTGCCCGATTCTAAAAGTTTTTCATGTTCTCCCCAGCTCCCCTTCCCCTTGAGAGGGCTCAACAGTCACCCACCGCACAACCACCCTTGATGGGGGGGGGGGGGTAACTCGTCTCCCTCCCACCATCTCAATCGCTCCCTTCACCACCATAGCTGTGTCTGCATTGTGTTTAATCTGATAGACACACTCTAACTTCGCTCATTTCTCCGTCCAAAACTGCAGTTGGGCTGATGGCGGGGGAAGGAAGGGAAGAGGGGGTTCTTGTTACATGACCACCAACTTACATTTTCTATCACGACTCTATATAGAGCTTTAAAAAATTATAAATGCACCCACCGCTAATCAATCCGAAATCGGTCTTCCGTGGCAACGGTAACAGACTGGTCTACAGTAGGTGGTGTATGTGTTGGCGCCTCCTACGACGCCCACGTTCCAGTCATTTGTGGATGCTCAAGATCAACTAAACTATTTCATCCAGTCGGTGTGTCCGCTTACAGATTGAGCTCTTATGACAGAATAAAAATTGACGCTATACATCTATCTCTCCCTCCTCCTCCTTACGTTTTTTCACCAGTCACTGTAAATCCAAATCGCAATCAAGTGCCACACATGAGTAAAGGTGGAAATGGAGTTTGAGGAGGTCATTCTTCCCTGCTTTATTTCTGTAACGTTAAGGGTAAGGGTAAGAGCTTGATATCACCCACTCGAACTCATTTGAGGTGCGCCTTTCAGCAAAGTCAGTGACCGATTCCTCCTTAAATGGTGGGAAAAAGGGATTCTGATTCAGAGGATGGACTTCTTCGCTTAAACTCAAGGAGTGGAGGTGAGGTAGGAGAAGTCGTTGTGATGGGTGGGCCAATAACTCATGTGATAACTGGAATCGGGTGTGAAAGATGCACTTGGCCAAAGCATAGCTCCTTATCAAGAAATATCTCATGAAGGATCGATCGCGTTATTGTACAACTCGCCATTACTAAGGCTTGAGGGATACCTTTATTGTTTAGTATTAGATGACGCTGATGTAGTAGTTCATTCTCAATCTCCTTTCTATCCGCTTCTAACATGAGTGAGAGCTGATGCAAAGCGCAAGTCCAGCACGGGCTGATAGTTCGGAATTGTTATTATCTTATTCAGGTTCTTGACTTCATCTCGTAGCAGTGAGCACACAGTACAGAGTTCTACCCCTCGATTACAGTACCTCTTTTCACTGGATGTTATAACTCCTGAATCAGGGAAAATCTGAACGACTATTTTCTTTAATGAAGGTACAGATTCTACAGTGAACATAGCGGTGATGTTTAGCTGGCGTCTACATTTTCTCGTTTTATCTTCAAGCTTTTTTTATTCATTTCTTTTTCCAGAAACTGGGAGTGTTGGAATATCCGGGTTGTTGTTCCACATCGATGATCCGCGATAGCGAAAGAGCAGTGGGATTTCCCGAACGGTTTCAGTCCTTTGAATCACATGATCGTCGAAGGATTGAGGAAAAGCCAAAATGCTCAGATGCAAGATGCGGTATGGATTTTTCCTTTATTTAAAACAAAAAAGAAAAAGATGGATGGGCAAAATACGTAATAACTTCGTATATGCGGACCGCATTTATTATTCCCAAAATTAATGAACTATGTTTGTTATTGTACAATGTTATAAATCACTCACAATATGATCTTGATAATATGATCTGTATATGCATGAGCTCGCATGTACACTGCTGACGGTGGCAGTAAACAACCGAACTTCAATCTGCATTGTCATAGGTTCTGTTCCATAGGCAGTTGCGACGTTAAGTATTGTGTGTAGAAAAAACGCAAAGGTACCCCAGCAATTTTGAGCCGCTGAAGGATGTACTGGGGTTTTGGGAATCGAACGGTGCGCTCCTAGCATCCAGGGGTGTTCCCAGTCCCTTTCACCGCCTCGTCCCTCGGCCCGCCCAACGGCCTCGCCGTCGGACTCTACCCGTTTAGCAGAGAGGCGGAGCAGAGTGCTCACGTTCATGGGATCAGCAACAATACAACTCCGCCGAAGCGAAACATCCAAAACGAAACCCAACCAGCAAACAGTGTCTGGCTTTGAATATTCCGGAGTGTGGTTAACTTTTCGTGCCATCTTCGCCTTTGAAAGTTCAGTTTCAGCCACCCGCACGAGTTCACTATCTCACCTAGGGCATGCGGTTCGTTCCAAAATGTGACAAACGGCATGAAATCGTGCGTACGGCTGCAGACTGTTGGCTGTACCGCTGTGAATTTTCGGAAGGGATTGTGCTTCCTTACCTCATTGTCAAGTGCTAAGACTCCAGTAACAATGATTAAAGTCGCTTCCAGTCCTAAAGTAGTAAAATGAACAAATAGCGTATTCGTTGTTCTGCCAACTAGAGCTACACCAAGATTACCTTATCAAACAACATGCTCACAAACGGAGTTACTCGTTCTCGAAGGAGCTGTGTTGATCATTAGAGAAGTTATAGCGTGTTTCGTGAGCATTGCACAGCAAAGTAATGAACTGGTCACGAAAACTGGTGTGTCCGATTTTGTTGACCCTTACCTTCAGGCCAGAAAGACACTGTATGGTAATGTAAAGCACTTTTACAAAAAAAGTGGGCGGAGATCGTGTGTAAGGGGGGTTTGCAGAGTGGACGGATTTGTGTGCCGACTTTGACTTCAACCCCGTATCTGGGCATCAAAACTAAATAATTCTATAGGAAAGTTCATTAACCGCGCTCTGAATGAAAACGCAGTGTCTACTATAATAAGTGGTTTTAAGCAAATGGAGGTCAGTTCTTTTGTTATGCGCCACGTATTTGATTTGAGTTTGAAATCATAAGGACCTTCATGGTTGCGTAGCTAATGTGGCCAACTGATGTCGATGTTCGCTCCTTACAGAAATTATCTGTAAACTCTCACTGACCGTGCAGTTGTGGAGATTTTGATGAACGTTCCTGTCTCTAGACATCTTTACTCTTAAAGGCGAAACTATCACGCAAATATTGGCAGATGCCATGGATGAGGGTGGAATGGAGTAGTGGCGCGTGGCGCTCCTTACTCGTTATGGTCTGAAGATCAATTCGAGTTTTTGTACACGCGGGCCCATCACGTTTCCCCCTGCGCACACTGTCTCCTCCCCTTCGTCTCGCTCCCAGATCACTAATTCATTCCCACAGTCGTGATCCACTCAATCACTATGTATTCTCTATGAAAGTAGGATGCGCGGCGTGTCTCAAGACGTGACTGCCTCTCATCACTTGTAGTCTTCTGTCGATTACGCCAATGGAAACAGTGACAAGTGTAGCCATTACCACCGGCACGTTCCGGTGATAAGGCTCGGCACGTGCTAATGGCTACAATTGTCACTCCCAGATCGACGCCCGTACAGGGGTACAGGGAAGCCAATCCTCCCCCTCCCCCACCCCTTCAAGTCCAGTACAGGTACCATATTTGTTGAGGCTGGGGGGGGGGGGGAGGAAGCGGGTTAGAATCCTAGGCTTCTACTGCGAGTATATGCCATATACGCATCCGATTTCACGAGAAGATGTTTTCGTTGATTTAAATAACGTAGGAGTTTCTTCCACGCGAGTGATTATTGCATTATATTTTTTCATCAATAATTGTTTTGTTGCAAAGAACTTTGTATCAAAAACGTCGCATAGAATCTTCCGAATTCACTGTGCAAATTTTCAGGCATTCCAACTAGCTCAAAAGTGGCTCTCGGGCAACTTCAGAGTGTGGAAGGAGACGCATCACATGTGGGAGAAGGTCAGTAATTATAATTTGATTTTATTCGATTTCACTTTTTGAGGTATCAAAACAAGCGTAGGGTGGTTCTCCTCGGCAAGCCTATGAACTGGGAAGTTGTCGAGTGTAGAAGGATCCTTAAGCGGCAGCAAAAGCGGCGGATGTGGGACTTGTTCGGTTTCATGCCCCACGGCGTTCAAGTAGCTGCCACTTCACATCCGCTCTCACCACATTAGAATAATCGCGCATCATAAATTCGCTCGGCATTTGAATGGCACGGAAGAAGCCTCTTTGCATGAGAAGCGCCGATTGATTACGGTATCAATTCAATTTCGCCCCTATCTGCTCCATCTACCGTACACCCGGGTTGGCCAGCGGCCGTGAACACGATGGCACTTAGCCGCTGCCGGCACCGCATGTATTATTGCTTCGTAGAGACAGAGAGACTCCAGAGATGTTTAGATGGACCGCCTGAAGAAGCCATTCAGGAAGACGCCAATCGAATGGGAGAGAGGCTGAGCAGGGTTTCATCGGCTCAGCTGGGCTTTCCTACAGGAATAGGGGATAGGTAGGGGAACACTCAATTACATTGGTGAGAAAATTATTCCAAAATGACCCCTCCATGTTCATCTATTGATTCGGAGAGAGAGCAGGGTCCAATCAAATCAAGTTTGGGATCTATCCCCTACCACATTGTATGTATTGTATTAGTAACTAACCGTACTACCTCAATTGGACCGAAGGTGAGGTAGCCGCATCTGGCGCTTTTTCCACTCCCATGGTCCGGGATCAAATTTTAGGTCGTGCAAGCCAACCAAGTCTTCTGCCGCTTCGGGTCGCTTAATTGGTACCAGACTTGTCTGAGAGAACGAAAAAACACTGGTTTGTACATCAGGCTGGCCCCGCAGGTCATTGTATAAGGCCACATCGCATTCAAATGCCACCGCGATTGTGAATGGAAGTAGGGTGCGTGGCTCATCTGAGAAAGGGATTGATTAGCTTTGAAAGCTTTTTACTTCGTCCTTTTACCCCAAATGGACCGATCTAGATAGATCCTGATAGGGTCTTGAAACCCTGGCCTTTTTGTTTGGAATGCCGACATCCATGGCCTTTCAACGATCGTATTCTTTACAAGGGGAGATGGTGAACAGCCCTGGCCCTCAGAAACCCACGGAAATTCCAGTATAAAACTTCTTCGAAGCCTGCTCACAATCATTATATTACTGTACGTGATCTAAAGGGATGGGCTAGATTGAATCGGTCGCCCAATTCGTTTTGCTCTAAGGATAATGCAACTGTGTGGGCAGAAGTGGTGTAGTATGTGGGGGCCGCTTGCCGCTTGGCCCAAGTCGGGCTCAGACCTATGGTCGAGTTTTGCCTGGCCAACCCGGCGTTTCCTCCTCTTTGAGGTGTACAATACATTGGGATAAAAACCCTACAAAAACCGAAAAGCTGATACTCGAGGACGAAAAAGCATGAGTTGTGGATTAGCTAGCCGAGAAAGGCATTGCTTATGCTTTAGCGGATTCAAATACCACAACGATTGTGAACGGAAGTGGAATGCGCGGCGCATGCTAGAAGTGATCAATCAACATTGGATTGCTTCGAGCCTTTTTGCGATTCGTGACAGTTAAAGGAATCTTCCACGGAAAAAGCTCCGCCCTCATTACCACAGAAAACGATACCTTAAAGGAAAGAGTGATCATTTTGTCTTGTGTGTAGGATTAGTATTATCGAAACTAACGCTTATGTTCCGTTCTTTTTGCTATGCTCATGAGGCTAGGGGCCTAAGGTATCGTTTTTCTGTGGTAATGGAGGCGGAGCTTTTTCCGTGGAAGATTCCTTTAAGCCTTTTCTCGGAAGAACCACGTTGTTATGTCTGATAGTCTGCGCTCGTCCGCCGATTATCCCTTCCGATCGGTGTGGAATTTGTTGTGGGATCCCCCGACTATCTGTATGCATGTGTGTATGTGTGATGATGGTGTGTTCCTTTTGTCAACGGTAATCTGTCGCCGTTAGTAAGGTGAGGGCGTGTATTGTCAAGGACGCTTCGTATAATGGACTCGCACCCAATTACGGGAAACTGTAGTCACTAGTCGCCGCAAACGCACGTCACTCGACTGAGACAATCGCGGCGGTAGTGGTTGTGGTGGTGGTCGAAGTCGATTTAGGTGCTAAAGACAGCGCCGCAGAAATCATCTAGTGATAATCGACTCTGATGCGTGGTGGGTGGAGCGCACATCGGCACACAACACAACTAATTGTAACGATCTTTGAATAACTCGTTACGTAACCTACCGTAACAGGTGCTCAGCAAACAGTGGCATTAGCTGCCGGTGACGCTCCGGTTTGGATAATAGCGGATTTGTGGTTTAGGGCGATGTTATCAGGTAATTCTGGTAGCTGGTTGACCTCATGAGGCTTCGGTGGAGAGATCCCTCTTGAGATTTTGTGGGTGATGAGGTTGAGGATGGTTGCGCGATTCCGACGTGAAGAACTCGTCGATGATTACGCGGCAAGTCAAGTGATCCGTCGGCAACAAAAAGACACCACATGAACGAGAAGAAGAGTGAGGCGAGCACTCGACACTCGTACCAAGGTAACCGTTTGATACGTCCGATAACTGCAGTGCACTTGACGCACACACGGTTCTCAATGAATAGAAGACGACCGCGGCGAGACGTTTTGGTTGAAATGCGCGAAACCTCCATTGGTTCAGAGAGAGGACTTTGCGAATGAACAAGGAACTAAATTTCGTGGCGAAATTTGGGTAAGGGTAGAGGTTGGAAGGAATTTGAAGCTAGTGCGTGAAGATCTAGATGATCCAACTATCAGAGTTCAACTCAAAAAAGGCTAACGAAACTTGGAGAAACGTTAGGTTATCCTTCTCAAATGAGCCAAATGCCATGGGCTTGGGATAGGGTGCAAATTCGAGATCTCCAAAGCAGGGCGAAAGGCTTGAAGTTGTCGTGTGAGCACCGAGTAGCCAAAATCATAACACATCTCGACCCCGAATAGCCACGTTCTAAACCCAGCACTGGGTAATACCGGCAGGACTCTTTTCACATCATGGGTGAAAATTTCTTGTTTCTGATGTTTATTGATAGATACAGCTAAATGATCCCAGGGTTTGATCCTAAGCAGGAGGGCAGATTAGCCCAGAATCTGACGGTGATTCACATCTTCCTAGATTCCTCCATTCAAGCAAGTAATTCCTGAAGATCCAACCGTTATTTAGTTGTCTGGACTGGTGGAGTGACCACCCACTTCATTTTAGTGCTTCAGAAATTCAACGCCTTCGGGCAGCCTTCCGTTTCCTCGTCCTTTCTTGTGCAGGCGACAACGTTCTCAGGCCCACTGGTCTTTAAAGGCATCTTGGTACTCGACAAGTCATCGGAAAGCTTAAAAGGGTTTCTGAGGCTCATCGATCTTGAGTGGATCCTGAGAAGAAGAACTGAATCTTCTGAAACGTCTCCTTCAATTTACAGTCATTTTCGTAGTCGTGTAGACCTACTAACTTCGTGAATACTTTCCAAGAACCCCTGGACTCGATCGAGATGAGCGTCGCGGCTATTGTTGAAATCCCTTTGGGTTGGGGAGGTCGAGACAGCCAGCCAAGTGATAATGAGAGAGGGAGAAGAGCCGACACAAGAGCGACCCATTGCCACCCGTCACCATCACTTGTTCGTTCCACTTCTCCGCCATCCCTCAATTACCAATTAGCTGCCGTGTAAACGATGCATTAAAAACGAATGAAATTAGCATAAATCACATCGACAGAAGGACTTAGGCTAATGTCGCCATTATTAATAACAAGCACGCGCGCATACACACAGAAGCAGCTCTTGAACACGCGAATGGCTTGTGGTGCGTTGAGTGGATGAGCGACGAGCAGGATGAGCCGCTCGCGGTGTAGGAAGAAGCAAGTGCCCCGTCAGTTTCTTTCCTGCACCTAACATTTGAGGTGAACATCCTGGCTGCATGGAGCTTCATCTTCTCTCACCTTGGAGTCCTTTTAGATATCTTCCATGCACTCCTTCATTCCCTTAGCCTTTCAAGACTCTTGTGTGTTGTTGTGGATGGTATTAAAGGCTGGTGGTCACGTAATTTTCCGGGTATGTCCCCGTTAGTAGATAATGCACAATACCCAGTAACGCAGATATGATATCACTAAGCGAGACTGGTTATAATTCGGATTCAATCCTGTTGAATAGGGGCTAATACACCTCGATTTTTACGTTTAGAATTGTGGCGCTAACTTGACCGCGGTTGCGTCAGGGACTCAACCTGCGGGGCGGCGCTTGCTGACGTACTGCTGTCTGTGTTGTGCCCCTCCCTACCTTCACTTCTTTCTGTTTCTGTCGGAGTGATCAGGTCCGGGTGGCCAGAATGTTGTATGTGAACAGGCCAGAGATGAGAGGAGTTGGTTTTGGGCCAGGCTTTTGAACCGCCGACATGGATCCCGGGCCATCATGTGGTAGCAGCGCCACTTGCCACTGCTCCACCGTCAGTGTTTTTGTGCTTGAGATCTGAACTTCTGGCATGAACTGACGTCATGTGACTGTCTATGCCAGAACGTCGGTGAACTACATCCACTTCACTGCTTCACTGCTTCTTGAAAAGCAAACGGGTAAACTTTTCTCCTCTAGAGAAAAGATGGTATCCCGATTCCGCGGAGCCGTGTAAGCATTTTCTCCAAAAATCTTGAAATTTATTGGAGAGATTTCTTTCAATTTCATTCGCTTGCCTAAGGAAGGAACATTGTCCACTGTACCCTCAGCTCCTGCTGTAGTTTGCGCAGTATTCAAAACCCTCCACCGGATACGCCACGGATTCATTTTTTTTTGAAATGCTCTCAAGAGCTGTTAGACGCCGTGCCTGATGCACTGGGGCGTCCACATTGCGCGAACTTCCTGAATCAGGGTTTTTTGGCGAATTCCCAAATACTGAAAATTCACTGAGTGGGCAAGTGGTGATAAAGCGCTCCTCTTTGTACATTCACTCCTTCCTAAGGAGACATGTATTTTCT